GGTCCTGAATCCAATACAAATCTGATCTTTTCATTCATCCTACTTGTACGTCATTCTGTGTCTTGCTACACAGAAGCTGAAAGAAAAACAACAACCATGGCGAACTATAATGCAGAGAGTAGTATGTATATTGCAAAGATTGTGTTTTTAAAGTTGGGAAAGATCGCTACCATCCATGTTTACTTCCGTAAACACAGCTTAGGCTGACATCACGTCCTTAGTTGCTCATGCGGGAAATGCGTTGTATGAATGTAGCTCACACAGGAGATGAGAAATGTGAACGGCAAAGCAAAAAATTTGGATTACACAAAAAAATCGGAATTGAGCATTAAGGCCTGCAGTGTGAACGTAGCCTTAGACGTCATTTTTTTATGCTAAACCTGGTCGGTCCGTCATGGTCTTGAATTTGTCCAGGAATAGTTGTGTAACTGTGTTTGGTCTGATTTGGTCCCACTTTAATCCAAAAATAGATGTTTTCAACGATCAGAAAATTACGGCTTTTCATCTTTCACTTTTCAACCAAATGTAGACATTGTTTGAACGTAAGTCACTTTGTCTTTACAACCAAATTATGCTTGGTAGGTAAAATGAAATTCAAGCTAATGCAATAAACATCAGCAGGAAGATTAGAAAATATTTTTGTCACTGGCACCAGTGGGATAATTAACAGTGCTGAGAATTAAACTCTCTCCTAGTCTATATCTACTGTATCTTTAAGCAGGTTTGAACATACACAGGTTTTGTGGTAAATTCACTCGGACTATTGGGAACACTCCCATCCCAGTCAGAATTATCTCCTGTGGTTCTAAGAAGGGCACTTCAAGATGAAACTGCTTCTCGAACCGCTCAGGGATGCCAGGCAGATAAGTAACACGCAGCTGCTTCTCAGAACCAGCATCAATGTAACCCTAGTGACACAAACAGAATGTAAAACAATAAAAACAAAATTGCTGTTTCAACAAATTCTAATGAGGACTTTATGGTTGACTCACCACAGCTGGAAGTACTAAGGGCCGTCCAGCTGTCATTTTCTGTCCAATAATCAGTGCTCCTCTCTCTTTATCAACCCCTTCAGTCTCCTCTGCATTTGAAGGGTGTTTAATGCTGTATTGAAAGCCGGTTTTGCCAGTATTCCTAACACACATTTTAACTTCACTCACGCAGTAAAACAGCTGGAAGACAGAAAGGAAATAAAAAAAAAAGTCTGGATTGAAAAGCATGTCAGTAAATTGATTATCAATCAATGAATTAGTCCTTATTGTCAACTAAAATTTGCATTGTAGTACAGATTTCAGTTTCAGTACAAACCATCCATCACATACATCATATGAATTGTTGGGGATGGTGGGCTTGCGTGTCAAAGAACACTGCTGTTAAGCGCATTGAGGCGGTTCCTTTAAGGCGCTGTCTTTAATCTCTGGAAAGGTAGGAGCCCGCACCTAGGGTCATCAGATCACCTATCTAGATGTTAATTCCTGAATACAGGCCGCAGCAAGAGTGTGGTCTTAGGGTGCCATGGAGACACCCTGGACTGTTTTGAGTGTTCTGACTGGAACATGTTCAAAGCTGCAGCAACCTATGGTAACAAGATCAATATTGATGAGTATGCCATGACTGTGTCAGCTTAGCAACAAATACATTGAGGACGTGAGCGCCACAAAGAACACCATCACCCAGGCCAACCAACAAACCTGGATGAATGGGGAGGTTCGGAAATCGCTATAAGCATGGAACTCAACCTTTAAGTCTGGTGACAAGAGAAGCACTGAGGACAGAGTGTGGCAACTTGAACTGTGCCATCAGATCAGTGAAGCAGACCCACAGCCAGAAGATCCAGGATCTCTTCCACAATGCCAGCAACACCAGGAGAATGTGGAAAGGCATATGGGTGATCACAGGCTACAACACGTCCGTCCCCCCGGTGGGTGCAGCTGATGCTTACATCCGTTGCAGTTCGCCTACCGACAAGCTCCAGTGAGAATGCCATCTCCTCTGCTCTTCACCTGAGACTAGCACACCTGAAGGAGAAAAACAGCCATGTGCGGATGCTGTTTCTGGACTTCAGTTCAGCTTTCAACACCATCACCCACAGCATCTAATAGGAGAACTGGAACAGCTGGGCTTCAATACACCCCTCTGCAACTTGCTGCTAGAATTCCTCACAGACAGACGTCAGTCAGTCCAGGCTGGACAGAACAGCTCTGATGTCATAATCCTTAGCACAGGCTCCCCTCAGGGCTGTGTCCTGAGCTCCCTGCTGTTCACCCTGATCACACATTATTGCGTCCCCAGGTTCACCACCAATCACATTGTGAAGTTTGCAGACGACACCACGGTGGTGGGCCTCATCAGTGATGACAATGACCTGGACTACAGAGAGGAGGTGGAGCAGCTGGTGGACTGGTGCAAAGATAACAGCCTGATCCTGAACGTGGAGAAGACGAAGGAGATCATCTTGGACTTCAGGAAGGCCCCGGCCTAACCACGCTCCACTGGTCATCAACAGCTCAGCACTAGAGGTGGTCAAAAGCACCAAATTCCTGGGGGTGCACATCACAAACACCTTCCCCTGGAATGTAAACACCACCTCACTGATCAAAAGGGCACAAAACAGCATGTACTTCTTGCAGAGGATGAGGAGAGCCCACCTGCCCCCACCCATCCTCACCACCTTCTACAGAAACACCATAGAGAGCGTTCTGACCAGCTGCCTCACTGTGTGGTGTGGAGGCTGCAGCACCTCAGACTGGACGAAGGTGTGAAGAGTAGTAAGAACAGAAGAGAAGATCATCGGGGCTCCTCTTCCCTCCATTAAAGACATTTCATACCAGCACTGCGTGTTCCCATTGGGAACCTACTAGCACTAAGTTACTAACTAGTTAGCAAGATGCTTCCGGGACACCAGCCACAATCAAACCTGCTTGCGAACCTTCCGCCACAACAATCCCGCCCCTTTGATAATGGACCAATCACATTCACTTTATTCACTCGTGTAAAGTCAGGCACCGCTTGGGAGAATTCGGAAACGCAACGGTTGGAACAGCCACTTCCCTATGACTTTAAGGCCTTTCTTTCAAACTTAGAACTAAAGCCATCTGCAAAAAAATCAAATGGTAGCAAAATGCCCAGATAGAAAATTATAAAGGTAGTAATGCTAAAGGCTACCAAAATTATGTTAAAAATAATTAAAGAACTGGAATAGTGTTTTTTAAAAAACAAAAACCTTTATCACGTTAAAATGCTGTGAAGAGAACAAACTCCCTGCTTTCAGCAGTTTTTAGACTTTGAAGGAGAAAGGGTTGTTTTACAGATTTGGTTGATCAGATACTTTGGCCCACAGTCCACCACAGTAGATGGCAGGAAAGTGTGTTAACGTGTGACACCATCCGTCGATGATCCCAAGAAGAAGAAAATAGTTGTTTTGTGGTCTGTGTCAAGTTAGCCAGGCAGCTAGCTGACAATAGCCCGGCTAGCTGCACAGAATTAATTACTGCGGTAACCAATGTGTTACTGCTTCATTAAAACTTTTTTTTGGACATTGGGAACCAGTGTCCATATTTCATCTTGACATGATGACCAGAGAAGAGTTTAAAAGTCTGGTGAACAAGCAGCTGTAAGAACTCTGCAACCTCCCCTCTCTCAGCCATAGGAAATCCCACAGAGGTGTGACCTTTTATTTTCAGTGGGAAACAAAATGTAAATGTTTATAATCTATGTCCTGTGATTAAAAATAAGAAACATTGGTGGATTGAATCCTGAGGTTAATCAGTTTGTTTGAAAATTAGTCCAGATGTTTGTGAAAATAGTCTATGAATAAAGTATCTACTCTACTCTGATGGTTCCCAAAATTTAGGAATAACTATTTATCAAAAAGCATAAAGACACTTTTTGAAAGGAAGACGTGAAAATTAAAATAATTGAAAATAATCTAAACTCCATATATTTGTTTAACTTACCACGGATCCCAAGTCCAGATGGGTTGATTCAATACTGTAGGAGAATTCTGAGATCTCTACTCTGACTTGGACTATATACGTCGGTCCATCTTCAACATAGCACTGAGCCACCACCTCTGTACAGGTGTTCTCATGGCTGTGGAATGAGAAAGTCATGAGCTGTTGGTCATGAGGATTCAAAACACCATAAATGGGTAGGATGTCAAAAACCTGTAGAGACCAAAACAGAAAGAGAAGAACATTAGTGCTACACAATAGATGGGCTCAGGCTATAATTTGGATTAACATTAACATGTTGGTCTAGCTGAGGAGTGTTAGCCCAGTGGTTAGAGCAGTGCGCTTGTGATCTGAGAAGGTTGCAAGTAGCTGGTTTGATCTCCACAGCTTGCGCTCTGGGTTCCTGAGCAAGACCCTTAACCCCACACTGCTCCCCGGGCACACACCATGGCAGCCCACTGCTCCCCAAAGGGATTGGTTAAATGCAGAGGTAAGGTTTGCAGTTCTCTAATAAAGTTTAATTATTATATGAATGTCAGCTAATTCAAACAAGCCTAGAGTCTATGTGTCATGGTTCTCCCCTTTTGGGACTGAGTTGTTAGTTTTCAGCTATCAGTTATTCTGTTTTGTTGATCTTTGGTTTATTTCACATTACAGTAGTAGCCATTCAAAATTTCCCCACTTTTCTTGATGGGTCCATGGCTGGTCCCCTACAATTCCTTTTTTAACATCAGTCTGTCATGATCTGGCCTGATTGCTCTACCTTGATTGGTTATTTTTTTCACCTGCCGTTTTCCCTCCCTGCATGCAATTATCATTTATTCCTCTCACCTCTTTCCTTTGGTTTGTATTCTGTTCAGCCTGCGCAATCGGGGCCAGATCATTATTTGTTTTCTGTTAGTCTGTCTGTTCAGTTTATGCAATGGTTCATGTCCTGGATCCTGGCGGCCAGTGGAAAGAGGGTTTTTGTGTCTGTCTCGTTTTCTGCTTGTCTACTGTTCCTCCACTGCTGAGTCCTCTGGGTTTTTGCCTCTTTATAAGGGGAGGTTCAGTTTTTATTCCAGTATGGCTCCAAGGTGGAGACCAGTTTAAAGGTCCTGCTTAAATTCTGGTTCTATGTCCTGTCTCTGCTACCCTCTTCCACTGAGCCTGCCCGTTTGCACCTGATCCTGTCTGCTCCTGTGTGTGTCCGCCCGGTCACGTTTCTGGACTCTGTTTGGAATCTGAACCTGCTTGGGAGCTCTATGGTGCCTGGAAGCCTGGATCCCGTCTCATCTGTCTGTTCCTGCCAGTTCTGTCTGTTGCTGCCTGTATCCCTGGCCTGAATCACCTTCCTGCAAATCCTACGGAGCTGCTGCACCGGGGACACTCTGGGTGACACGTGCCCATCGGCTCGATCGATCCCCCTTCATGGGTGATGGACTGAACTGTTAAACCAGGTAAGTGACTCAATGAGATTATCATCTTCTGTCAGATGATCATGGTCACTTACTGGTGTTTCCCCCACAGAGTGTCTGAGATTGGGCGGTGCCCCGGCCCCCTACTGCAGCATCCGTGAGCCGCAGATCCCTTTAGTTCACTATCACTTTAGTTTTGTTGGTTTTTATTTAATAAAGGCTTTGAACTTTCCTAATGACTGTCTCACCTTGAATACTGGGTCCATCTGTCCTGCTTTATGACACAATCTTTCTTTCTTAAATGATTTGTGGACATTAAGATCTAAAGACAAGCATCTTCTCCTGGTCAGACCCTGTAATTCAGTGAAAGGCTGGAGTCAGAGTAAAAAAAAATATGCAAGAGGGGGTCACTCCAGTGGCTGGAAGTTGTAGGGGATTTTGCTGGGAGTTGCGGGGAAGTGGCCATTTTGAATGGCTGCTCCTGTATATTCAAGTAGTCTTTAGTTTTGCTTCCTTGTCCTTGTTTCCTTTCCCCTTGGCTTCCTTCTGGTTATTTCCACTCACACCAGCTCCATATTCAGCTCATTAGCCCATCCTTTGTTCTGTTCCCTTTATATACACCACCTCTGCGGTCATGCAATGCTGGTTCCTTGTTGTTGTAAGTTGCTTCCTCTTCTCTGGCTCCCCACATGAGTTTTCCCTTATGTTTTCTGGTTTTTTGTTCTTTGTATTTTTCATTTTTGAATGCCTGCCTCAGTTTTTTTATTAAATCAATAAGAACTCATCTCTGCTTCACTCATCTCTGCTTTTGTGTCCTCAAGCAACTTAACCCCCATTATTGACACTATGAGGCTGATCAGACTGTTTAGAGTGACATGGTAAGATTTGCCCACTAGCTGTTGCTGATCCACGCATGTTATTCTTCCATTTCCATATTAGCCTACCTCATCCACATGTAAAGGGTTCGGTGAGCTGCCCTGATCATCTGCTTTAGGTCTGGGAGAGAACTGAGAGGCTTCAGTCTCTGTATGCTGATCCCACTCTGTTGTTACCATTTCTGGTTTTCTATGAATGCAAAACAAAATTCAAACATCAGTTTATCAATATAATGATTTTTCTCTTTACATATGAAAAATTCTACATTTAAAGAAATATAATTGAAAACCCACTGTAACAGACAGAGAACAGACGGCGAGACACCATATTATGACCCTGAAGGCTGGCTAAATAAAGATTAGCCTTCTGGTATTGGTCATAGTTTCTGCTATATAAACTTATCAAACAAAAAGCAACCAAAAAAACAAGGAAATCATATAAAAAAAATTCCTTATATTTTATGATAATGGTTTCCAGATAATGAACACACACAGTTTGGGTCAGAGAAAATTAAGATATTGCAAAAAAGTTAAACATTGGAAACTCAGTATTAACTGAAAAAGTATGTAAAGGTTTCCATCTTAATGGTTTCTTAGTGTTTGCCTGTAGACCACACAATCAATCAAACAGTTGCTACTTCACAAGGGTTAAGGTATTTACTAGAGTTGCACCAATGCCATTT